TTTTTTTTTTTTTTTACTTCTGGCAAGTCAACTCAGCATAAACATATCATTTATTAAATGATTCTCAGGAATTACACTAAGGATCACATTAGCATAGATAGGGTATCACCATGGTGAAGCTACCCAAGCACCACATTACTTTTTAACGTATCTGCTTTATTTGAAATACGTAGAGAGCACTATGATGACTCTCTTGGAAAGTCTTACTGTCTCCACGTTGAGAACAGAAAGGAAAAGTATAATAATCATTTTTTAATATAATTTAGTGTGCACCTTATATAGTCAAGAAGATGAACTTTCAGTTATAAACTAAGGAAGTGCTACGGGTGTCATGGTAGACTAGTTTCAACACCATTAGCTCACCAATTGCTGTGTACATTTGCACAAGGATACTAGGATAGAAAAACATAAAATGTTTCCTCTTACTGAAATATTGTGGGGTAGGTCCCTTTTGATTCCAAAATGAATGAAGCCCAAAAGAAGGAAGGGGGTTAAGTGAGAACCCCCACCCCTCCCAAAAATAAAGCATCCACAAAAAAAGCAGGTCTGAATAGAAAAAGGTATCTTGTATGCACTGTATCTTTTGTAATATACTAAAGAATAATTTATTGAACTCAGCATTTCTTTGAGGACGGTTTAGATCCATACCAAAAGAATACACTAAATCTATCTTACTGAGAATATAAAAGAGGTAAAATTCTATTACCTCTAGAATATCATCCTTTAGAACTGACAGCTCACTGTTGTTCCTTGCCACAAAGTCATACTTGGATTTGGCATATTTCTTGGACTGTGTTTTGACTGGGTCATAATTTCTATAAAAAGAAAGAAGGAAAAAAAAAAAGATTATCATCTTGCTAGCTTCTTCCTAAAGACTGAAAACAGAAGTAAAATATTAAAGCAAGCCAAATCCTACCAGAAAACTTTCTGACACATTATTTATATAGCAGTTTAGTTTTATTCTATTTTACAGAGGATGAAAAAGAAAAGGAACTCTGGAGTTCTTACTATTGAAATGAATGAACTGGGCCAGCAGATGGCATGGAGGTTAAGGCAGCTGGATTCTAAACGGCCAACTATGTGGTTCAAGCCCCAGACCCTGAACTTGAAAAGCATACTGTGAGAGTGGACATGTGTGCCCAAAATCCCAGGAGGAGAATGAAGGAGAAGGGACTGCAGAATGGAAATGTCTCCCAGGGGTGGGGGGATTTCTTGTTTTCCCTCTCTCTGTCTGTCTCTCTCAGGCAAGCACACACTCACTATAGCAAAAAACAAAGTGTGTATGGGGGGACTAACAATGGTTAGGATAAAAATAAGTAATGCAAAAATCACAAGGCTAGTTGGTCCTGAGTCAAACCCAGAATCGAAACCTACGCATTCGTTGTCTTTTAAATACACTTACTGTATGCTGTTTTGTTAATTAGCATCTCTATCATGAAAGAACTAGGGTGAAGATAAATGTTAGTATTAAGGGAGACTGAGGATAATTTCTGCGGTGGTAATTTAAGTTACATGTTGACTTCACTAATTCAAGCAAGGTTTCATTTGCCCAATATACGTATTTTAAAATTCTGACTACATGTCAATTTTTAGGAAGGCTTTGTCAAGTTATCTAAATTGTTAAGAGAAGGTATTCATTAAGTACAAGACCAGTAACATAAACAAATAAATAAGTAAATCGATAATTTATTTTCCTATATGCTTTATCTAAATAGTAAGAACAGATGTATGGACTTTATAATTTTTATTTATTTTTATTTATTTACTTTTTTTTTTTTTGGCGTG